TTTTGAATCCCAAACTTTTTATGCTTTGATTTGCCTCCACAGACTCAGTTCTGATTTGGGCTTTTTCATCAAAGTATTTTTGTATAATAAATTCTTTCAGTGGAAGAATGTGTTTTTCCTCAGTTAAGGAAAGTTGGTTAACTGAACTGTCCTTATCATAATTCAGTCTCTCTTCTTTATCCCCATTTCAATAAATTGTAGCCTATCAATAAGTCAGAATTTAACCCATCAATTTCATAAAATGTGTAACGCGTATTAAATATAGTTACCATGTGGTAAAATTTAATTATTGAATATCCATTAACCGTAGATACTCTTTTATAGATTGGAAGTTCGTTTTTGTTATTATAAATCCCCGTTCTGATATAGCACGAGGTTGCACCTGTGTCAATTAATATTTTGAGTTCTTTATTTAGTTTAGCATCATACCGTATTAAGTAGGGTAATCCTACTCCGGTTTCTGGCCTAAAAAATGGTCCTCTTGAATGTTATTTAGTAGCATGATTTTATTAGACGGTTGGTTAACCGTACCTGTAGGTTCCCTTTTATTTTGTGGTTGTTTTGGCTGAGGTGCCTTTTTGTTATGGTAATAATTATTATTGTTGTAATTATTATAACCCTGGTATCTTGGATTGTTTTGGACCTGTAGAGATTCGTCAACCTCCATTGGTTCCGGTTTAGGTTGTTGAGGTTTATACGAGTTCCATTGATATTGATTATTATTATGGAAATGATTCTGTCTACCCTGATTCCAATTGTGATTTTTATTTTGATTATAGTTATTTTTATTTGGGATATCTTGTTGGTAAAATCGTAAGTTGTTATTATTCCTTAATTTTGTATTATGATTGTTATTATAGTTTTGCTTGGGTTTATAATTAGGATTTTGATGACTAAACAGATTTGTCTCACTAGTCTTTCGCTGTGAAGTTGAGTAATTATTTGCGAATTGTGCTCTCAAATTATTGCTCTCTAATTCTTGAACTATAACCATGGCATTGGGTAAATCGAGTGGATTAATTGAGAATATTACATCTGAAATGTGCCACCCTTAATGCCGTCTTTCTATGTTTTTCGTTCATTTCAGCAGTTATAGGTTTATTCCTGCCATAAGTCATAATGGTTTTATTGATTAGAAGAGTTAACTTTCTATTTATTAATCCATAATATTCCATTATGGAAAGTTTGCCTTGACTTAGTACTTAGTCTTGTTCAATAATATGGATTGGACGTTTGTCACTAAAGATAAAGTCTAGTCTTGCCATTATGGCATCGAAATTTAGAACTGTTCCATTATGAGTTAGGGCATCGTTTGCTGTTCCGGTTATTTTATTCCTTAGAATAGATAATGATGAAAAATATCGTTCGGTTCCCCTAACATATTGCCCCATGGCTATTTCTGCTGACTCCCTCCAACTTACATACTTATCTTCTTCACCCTTGAATTCTCTCACTGATTTTATAATTTCAAAGGAGGTTTCACATTTAGTACTTGGTTCATGTGGTTCTATCTGATAATCTTCAACCTTTTTTACATTATGATTCAATTGGGATTTCAATCTAACGATCTCATCCTTCAGTGGATTTAATTCATTGTTTACAATTTTTGTAATTAAATCACTAACTTTGATATTACCTTGGCTGCTAGAAGCCGTTGCGGGAGGTGGTTGTGACATGGTGAGAACTCTATTAAATTCGTTTATTAAATCTTCCACTTCCACCTTGTATTTATTTATGTTTAAAATTATTATTAAATATATTAGAAACAGCTCACTGATTGCCTTATTGAAATCTTCCTTCTTGTTGTCGTCCTTCTTGATGTAGTTCTTCTTGTTGTCGTCCTTCTTGATGTCGTTCTTCTTTATAGTATTTAGCGAGGGAATGCCCTCAGCTCTTCCTTCAGATTTTATGATGGTTGTGAATGTACTGGGTTGTACTCAGTTCATTTATTATTAATGTTTGTCGTAGTATAGTTGTTGTTGTATTTGGCACTCCCGTTAAAATTTTATCAAACAGGATATTTTTGAAACTTTAGCTTTAACTTTTGTTAAACCAATTTTATTCAGCACGACAGTTTTAATTGTTGCTTAACACATTGTATTTGGCACTTCCGTTTTAATTTTAGTTGCACAAATAGTATTCGGTATTCCGTTTAAATTTTTAAGTTAAACAGCAGGTTTATTATATAAATAATTAATTAGCGGATTGTTGTAACTTATAGGGGGATTATTTCATTTATTAATTTCCTCCTTTGGGTTTTTACTAGACCGCACTTGTTCTTTTTCACTTTAAAACTGTTTGTTATTTATTTTAAAGCTTTTTATTTGAACTGCTTTATGGCGGCCCCACGTTGGGCGCCAATTAAATATGTTCGTTGTGAATTATTTAAAAAAATAATTTTATTTTTATTTAAGCTTCAATTGTTACATTAATCCTTAATTTTTATTTTTATTCTACTGATTAACTTCTTTTGGAACCGATCGAATACTGTGCCAAAAACCGACTGACTGAGCCAGTGTAATTTGTCTGTAAGCTAACCTCTGCTTAAGAGAATTAGGGATCTGTTTAAAGAGTTCGATTCAAGAGAATCGGACAATTGGGTGATGCAATTTGTCATCTTGATTTACGAAATTTAATTAAACCGATTAATCTTCAATATCTTAGGTCGGCGGACCTTATCATAAGCTGGACTCAGCTTTGTTTATCGTGGAAGGACCGCGCGGCGTTAATTAAAAAGAGCTTCTATGAGCTTCTGTTTATGCAAGAAGGAAGGCTGGTTGAACGGTTCCCAGCTAAGAATTGTTTATAAACAAAATTGTATATGAAATGGGTAAGGCGGCCTGTTAATAAAAAGAGCTTCTGTGAGCTTCTGTTTATGTAAGAAGGACTGCGGTGCAATTGTCCACCGAAGTGTGGAAGATAATGAGTTCTCATGGGAAGGCTGGTTGAAAGGTTCCCAGCTAAGAATTGTTGATAAACAAAATTGTTTATTAAATGGGTAAGGCGGCCGGGATATCGGGTTGGATAACTTGCATAGGTCTCGTTCAGAGAAGTCCGAAATAAAATAGCCGAAGAAAATTCTACCTATGTACGATCGGTTACTCCCGAGTGTCTCGCGTAGTTCAAACTTTAAAATGGTTGTTGTTGTCAATCTGCTGCGGTGGCTGGTATTCGCAAATTAGAGAGACATGGTGATGGAGGGAACATTTCAACATAAATTGTTGTTGTTGATGAAAGCCCATGTTAAATTCATCCACACCCTGCATCAACATTTCATCAACGTTTTCTCAATAGCCGAAGCGTTTTGTTGATGATTCATCGATGAATCTCCATGACGAATTCATCAACATTTCATCTATAATTCATCAACATTTCATCAGTATTTCATCAACAATTCATCGATTAAATGATGATGAAATGTTTATGAAATGTTGATGATTCATCGATGAATTGTTGATGTTTTTTTTTTCATATATTAAATTAAATTCTTGAAATTTTATTAATATTATGGGTTTTTCGGCGATTTCTTTTGGACTTTCTATAGGACTTTCCGGCTATTCCCCCAGCTACACCTATGGGATTCCGATGTGATCTTTTGTCAGGTTTTCAAAAAATTGTAACTTAAAAGTTGAAAAAAGGTCTCTGGAATTTTGACTTTTAAAATTATATATGTATTTTTTATATATTTATGAATTGCGAATTGGTCAATATATATGGAAAAATAATTAATTAATTTTTGTTGTTGTTGTTGCTGACGCAATAATAATGGAAAAGATAGGACTAGAATTTACATATTCTAATGTAAAAATATTAAAAATATATATGGGCATTTCTAGAAAAGTGTCTACGGCGATGCTAAAATTAAAAGTCTAAAAACATATGTTCATTTAACTAAAATTGTTTTATTAATATGCAAATTTCAAGAATACTATTAATTCACCGCCTATTTTTGTTTTGAAAAATTTGATCCTAAAGGTAAAAGGTATAATTTTTCCTCTTTCGCAACTATAAGTGCAGTTTTTGCATTTCGTCCTTATTTATTAAATTATTATTAACAAGAAAGGAAGCTAACTTCGGCACGCCGAAGTTTGTATACCCTTGCAGAGCCACTCTGGTTAAAAGACAATATTTAAATTAGCATAAATAAAATGCTGAAAACACACACAAAACATAGTTTCATATGTATATGTATACTTACAGTTACAGTTTTACATTTCTAGCTTTACATTTTCTCTCCATTTACCGATCGCTTCTAAGTCAGCTATATGATATAGTTGACCGATTTTCATAATATTTATACCAAAATTCTGGAATATCTCATATCTCAAAGTAGATGAAAATACGTATATGCAAAGTTAAATTCAATTAGCATTAAAACTGAGGGACTAGTTTGCGTAGAAACGGACAAACGGACGGACTGACTGACATGGCTAGATCGACTCGGCTGTTGATGCTGATCAAGAATATACATAATTTATAAGGTCAAATATGACTCCTTCACTGCGTTACAAACTTCTGACTGAAATTTATGATTTCAGAATTGCGACGTGATCTTTTTTTTATTGTTTTTTTTTTTTTTCTTAATAGAACGCATTTAACAACAATGGACTTTATTTAAGAATAACGTTACAATAGGTGCAGGAAACTGAAAAAATAGGTAATCATCGACATTTTATCTCATCTACTATTTTCTTAATTGTTTATTGTTGATACAAAAATCTTAAGACGAAAACGAATATGTAATAAATAGGAACAAAAAGCAATGTCGCGAACAGAGCAAAAAGCATACCTCTGAGATTCGGTTAAAATATTCCATATTACAAATTTAGCAATATAAATTAAATGAACATATGCTTATAGACTTTTAATTTTATGATCGTAGTAGACCTTTTCTGGAAATGCCCGTATATAATATAATTATAATAATAATACACATTTTTTCGTTTATATGTATATATATAATAATAATTTTCAGCAGTTAGGTATTGTAATGTACTTACGATTCTCTCATCCTTCATATGATCGGGAAATTCGACTTTAACAATATCAGCATATGCTATTAGCACTTTTACGATTGTTTTAGCAAAACGCCTCATGTAACGTTTCCATATTTCTGGATCAGGACACTCGAGCTTGCTAACAACATCGAAACATTGCGTCAATTGTGTAAAAACGTCGACAACCGAATTTGAAAAAAGTGCGTGCTCGCTGCTCTTTTGAAACTGCAAATATAGAGAAAATATATAAGGAATTCGAATTGCAAAACTTCCTATAAATATCTATACTCTAGTATTCTTATATTTTTGTAAGCTCTCTCACCCCGTCTTTTTTGTCTCGCTTGAAGGCGCCGTGAAGATATTCCAACGATACATCGTCGTTCTCGTTAAGCCATTGCATTACAAATGGCTCAAACCAGGCGGGATAGTCAGGTACAGCCCCCTTATAGGGTGGCACTTCCTTAACATAGTTGCTGTAGAGCCATTTAACCCGAAAATGCAGATTCATATATGCCGATGATTTGCACAAACGATGCTGTTCGTGCTCCTCCAAGGCATACTTCATGTCCACGGCAAATAGATGCCACATGGAAGATGCTGATAACTATTGTTATTAGGTGATAAGAAGCGTACTCAATAAACTTATGTATGTTCAGTACTTTAGGTTTCCATATTATTATTTTTATAAAAAAGCAAGCGGATAAATACATATGGGCATTTCCAAAATTGCGCTCTGCTACTTGTCTATTGACAAGATCTTTTTGTTGTGTTTAGCTAAAGTTGCTCCTTTGATTTTTAAATAATCGAAGCCGACAAGACCTCGAGTCTGAGGAACTATTATTATATATATTAATTTAATATATATTTTTATTTCCTTTATCTTTGCATTCTTTTAGTGATGTTAGAAAGCAAAATTTAAAGCACAATGGCTCTGTTTTAGAAGTTAATATCAAAAGAAAACATGCACTTATTTAAAATGGTTTTCATCAAAATAATGGAAAATGAAGTTTGCGCTACATTGCATTCCAATATTTGTAAGATCTGTCTTAAAATTTGCTAAATTTGATCAATTGTAAAACATCTTATTGTAACTATTTAAAACTACATATGTATTAAAGAGCTTTTGTTTTTTTGGCAGCGGTAGACGTTTCTGTGGAAATACCCATATACCTATTCAATCACACAAATATCTTAACAATTTAAACATAATGTAAATAAGACAAAAACTCACCTGTCCAATATTTAGTTCTTGTGGAAATTGATTTAAGACAGTGCCATAGCTGTTTTTATCTTCGTCAATTACCGACACGATCAAAGCTATTAACTTGTGCCAAAAGTCAACGCTATCCAGCTTAGGCTCATGATCATCCGGAGCACGTTTTGCTTCGTTGGGATCAACCTGTTGGTGGTTGAAAGGTGGGAATTCATAAAACATAAATTTAACCTAATCATTTAAAATTAACTATTTTGTAGAGCTTGAAAAACATCAAAATCAATATTTTTCGGTAGTATATCTCCATATATTTTATTAAAAACATGTATTTCTTTTTTTAATAGCCATCTTTGTTAAGTAACAGACTTACCTCATATACATTTTCTATATTATAACTAACAAGAAAGGAAGCTAACTTCGGCACACCGAAGTTTGTATACCCTTGCAGATTGGTTTTGATGTTTATATTATAAATTTAAATGCTGAAAACACTCACAAAACAGAGTTTCATTACATTTTACCTATACTTATTATGTTTACAGTTTGACAGTTACAGTTTTACATTCCCAGCTTTACATTTTCTCTACATTTACCAAACGATCGGTATGGCAGCTATATGATATAGTTGTCCGATTTTTATAAAATTTTTACCAAAATTCTGAAATAATAAAAGAAGCTTCTATCTAAAAGTAGATAAGAATATGTTGACAAACAACGAAGTTATAATTTTTTTCCTATTCATTTTCCGATCGTTCCTATGGCAGCTCCTAGCTTCACATTTTCTCTACATTTTCCGACTCTCTACATTGTCCGATTTTCATAAAATGTATACCGATATTCTGAAATAATAATAAGTATATATATTCTGGATCAGCATCAACAGCCGAGTCGATCTAGCCATGTCCGTCTGTCCGTCTGTCTGTCTGTCCGTCTGTCCGTCTGTCCGTCTGTCTGTTTCTACGCAAACTAGTCCCTCAGTTTTAAAGCTATCTGAATGAAACTTTGCATATAGTCTTCTATATACTCTCACTATATATGTCGAAACGGGCCGGATCGGACGACTATATCATATAGCTGCCATACAAATGTGCGATAATTTTTTAGAAACAAAATTATAACTTGCCTGTTTATCAACATTTCTGCACCATTTTTTAGATATTTTTATTATACCCTTGCAGGGTATTATAATTTCAGTCAGAAGTTTGCAACGCAGTGAAGGAGACGTTTCCGACCCTATAAAGTATATATATTCTTGATCAGCATCAACAGCCGAGTCGATATAGCCATGTCCGTCTGTCCGTCTGTCCGTCTGTCCGTCTGTCCACCTGTCCGTTTCTACGCAAACTAGTCCCTCAGTTTCAAAGCTATCTGAATGAAACTTTGCATATAGTCTTCTATATACTCTCACTGCTATATATGTCGGAACGGGCCGGATCGGACGACTATATCATATAGCTGCCATACAAATGTTCGATCGATTTTTAGAAAAAAAATTATAACTTTGCTGTTTTTTAATATTTTTGCACCATATTTTAGATATGGCTATTTTATATTATTTCTGAATTTTGGTAAAAATTTTATGAAAATCGGACGACTATATCTTATAGCTGCCATAGGAACGATCGGGAAATTAATAGAAATAAAATTATAGCTTCGTTGTTTTTCAACGCATTTTTATTTACTCTGAGATATAAGTTTTTTTTATTATTCTAGAATTTTGGTATAAATTTCATAAAAATCGGACAACTATATCTTATAGCTGCCATAGAAGCGATCGGTAAATGTAAAAATATATATATAAGGGAATGTAAAACTGTAACTGTCAAACTGTAAACATAATAAGTATAGGTAAAATGTAATGAAACTCTGTTTTGTGAGTGTTTTCAGCATTTAAATCTATAAAATAAACATCAAAACCAATCTGCAAGGGTATACAAACATCGGCGTGCCGAAGTTAGCTTCCTTTCTTGTTATCTACTCTAATATATGAGCTTATTCTTATTAGTTCAGAGTTTTGGTATAAATTTTATGAAAATCGGACAACTATATCATATAGCTGCCATATAAACCGATCGATCGGTAGTTGTAGAGAAAATGTAAAACTGGGAATGTAAAACTGTAACTGTCAAACTCTAAACATAATAAGTATAGGTAAAATTTAATGAAATAATATCTGCATGGGTATACAAACTTCGGCGTGCCAAAGTTAGCTTCGTAACTTGTTTTTTGAATTATTTGTATCGATATTTACACAATCAAAATACGTCATACTATTTTTACGCACCTTGTTTGTTGATCATGATGTAAGAAATCTTGCAATATGATCGGTGATCATAAGGGTTCAGAAGATCTATCGAAAGAAATCTTTCAGTGATCAAGGATCGGTGTTGTTTTGCTGAACATAACCATGGTGTTCAGAGACGCTTCGAGTGATCCACAAGTATCTTGCGAAAGACATATGGATGGACATAAGAAGCTCCACCCCTAGTGCATATTTTTATAGTTTCATTCCATTGTTATTGCTACATATTATAGAATGTAGACGACTGTGGAATGAGGATGGTTTACATTTTAATGTGGACGACTTTCATTACAGCGGCGTCTAAAGCAGTCATAAAGAGCTTTCTCTTCGGATTCTAGGACGATGTTTATCCCGTGTTCTCATAAAAATGAATCAACTGATTTAAGAATAAAATCTATTATATAAAAATAAGTCGGGTTTTCTTTCCTGATCCTATAACTCCAGAACGTACGAACCAATTTTCACGGTTTTGCATTCGTTGGAATGGTCTCGGGCTTCGTGATATATGCAGCAAAGAAAATTCAAATTCAAAAAAATTGCAACAGAAAAGCGGGAAAGTCAGTTTTGCATTTATCGCCATCGCTGATACATAGCATGCCATTATTCTGTGATCAGTTCATTTCATTAGACAAACCGAAATTGTGATAAATTTTGTGAAATTGTAAAAAAAAATTTAAAAAAAAATAAGTTATTCGTTTCCTAACATTTCAATTGGAATCCAGCATTTGTGTTTAAGGTGGTAAGTTGAACTCTGCCCGTAGTCCTTGATCAAGACCAATCCAGAATTCCCAGGATAGTTCACCCACACTTTGATCTAAGTATTTCTGAAGTCAGCCGACACTACACAGTGGCTGGGCTTGTATGGAGACGCGGCCAAAAATACTTCTAGTTGATTAATCGTTACGAAATTTACACCAAAAATCAAAAAAAATGTTTTAACCCTCTAGTGCCCAAGACCGCCTCTAGACGGGCAATGCTAAAAACACCGTTATTTTATTATTTTCATTCCTTTTCACACGGTTTTCCGTTTTTTCTAATTCAGGAAAGTCCAAAAATTAAGTTCGTTGCGTTTGGAATACATACTAGAGCTAGCGCAAGCTGCTGTATTCATTTGAAGCTGAAAATTTGTGCAAATCGGACAAAATAATTATTTTGTAGGAAATACAACATGTAAATACTTTTTTTAAAAATTGGAAAAAAATTAGAACAAAAAATTGTACTGTGTTGCTGACAGTCTCAATTACATTTATAATAAACATTTAAACAAAAAAATTTTTTACCTAATTTTTTGTTGGCCTATCTTCCCAGAACTGCCTTCATGCGGTCCAAGGTTTTAGTCATATAAAACTCGATCCGAGCAAAAGTAAAATTTTTTCCAAAACAAACATTCACTTTTGATACATACTGAATCCAAAAATAATTTTTTTTTTCGAAAAAAAAAATTTGGGCACTAGAGGATTAAGTATATCTACAAAAAATTGACCATATAGCACGTCTACCACATATAGCTGCCATAGGAGCAATCTGTTAAAAATCAACATTTAGTATGGAAAACTTTTTTGTTTTTCAAAATATCTTAACCAATTTCACAGATTATATGTTCGGTACAGGTTTATACATTCTTACAAAATTTGGTTAAAATCGGATCTCTACATCATATAGCTCCCATACAAAATTTTAATAAAATTATTTTTTTTTTTCAAGACCTAAAATTAATTTTTGATCTCTTAATGAGAATGTTGGTGAAATATAAGTGCCCAAAAGTAACAATGAATTATTAACTTATATATTGTGTATTTTATTTGTCTAGCAACAAATGCACACAGCTTAAGGGGGGGTATGGTTAATTTGGTGCAAAACTGCACACTTATCAAAAAATATTTTGGCGAAACGGCTAAAGTTAGCTTAATGAATTAAATACCATAAATTATCAAAACATTTGTTCAATTTTTTTTTAATTTTTGTATTAAAAAAATATTTACAGGCCTACGAGATATTGCGAATCTCCTGAGTCCCCACAAAAAAAAAGTTGATTTTCGGTGTACATCCTAACTGTCCAAAAAAACATCCGATATCAAAAAAATTTATTGCATTCGTTAAAAAATAAGTGCCCCGTGGTACTCAGGTGATGCTTTTATTTTCCCGACTTTGTATCGAAATTGGAAGTCAAAAGCCGGATTGTTGATTAAAAAATTAAGTTAATTTGTTAAAAAAAAATATAATAAAATATAAAATTAAAAAAAGCTCTACATGAGTACCTGAACAATTAAATTAAAAAGTTATGTTCCAAATTTCAAACCGATTGGTTAAGTAGTTTTTGAGTTATCAAGTAGACCGATTTTCAAAATGGCATTTTTCAGGAGAGCGCTTTAAACTTTGTGATACTCATACATCGAACACCAAACGACCTCCGTTCAACTACCCATAACTTCGTCAATTTTCTAATAATCGATGTAAAACTTTCACGCAATATTTTTAAGATATTAAACCTTTATTTAACAAAAAAAAAAAAAAGTACGAAAAACAAGAAAGGAAGCTAACTTCGGCACGCCGAAGTTTGTATACCCTTGCAGATTGGTTTTTAGATTTATATTATAAATTATAATGCCGAAAACAGACACAAAACAGAGTTTCATTACATTTTACCTATACTTATTATGTTTACAGTTTGACAATTACAGTTTTACATTCCCAGCTTTATATCTATATATATAAAAATCAATTGCTGTTCATTAGTCTCGCTAAAACTCGAGAATGGCTGAACGGATTTATCTTATCTTGGTCTTGAATTATTCGTGGAGGTCTAGGGAAGGTTTAAAAGGTGAGAAAAATTCGAATAATTGCCGGGAAAATCCTCAAAACAGTATTTTTCTATTTCCCATAC